GAGGACGGGGGGATTGGGTTGTCTGAAAGGGGCTCTGGGGAGGGGGGCATTGGGTTGTCTGGCGGGGGCTCTGTGGAGTCGGTGGCTGTGTGATCTGGTCTGGAATCTGGGAACTTGGGGAGTCCTGCGGACCATGCAGACGGGAGGACTGGCTTACGGTGGCTCTCTGAGGGGATAATGTGCTTGGCTTTGCCAGACCCTCAGGGCCTTCCTTTTCAGGAGTGTTTGTGGAACATTCTGGTGGGAGCAGGTCTTTGTGGGGGTCATTCTGGGGTATTGGGAGAGGAGTTCCATCAGTCTTCAGAAAATCACAAACCTCCTCAGACCTGAAAGAGATTCAAATTGGAGTCGTGAGGACAAACATACTAAGATTAAGTTTTTTCTCAGAGAAACATTTTACAACAAAAGTGCTTCTGGTTTTTACTTTTTGGTTAAATTTTGAAATATTTTATCCTTCCCCGTGAATTAGTTTGTTAACCCGGGATTTTCACAAGCTAACGATCAGCTTTTGTCTCCCTTCCCACAAACAAAAAAAAAAAAAAAGCTGAGTGAGTCGTTGCATCTCAGCAGACACAAATGAACTGGGTTAGTGTTGATGTCACCAGTGCAACAGAAATCAGGGAAGTAAACAATGGAGAGCAGCATGTCAAGAAGTCGGCGTAGTCAATGTTCTTTATTGTTTCACTCTATTATCTGACTGAATCCCTCTCAGCAGAGCTGCTCCATGTTTATTGAATGTAAACAGAGTTGTTTCTGCTTGCTAAATCAGACGCAACTGGTGAGGCGTGTTGATGTCAGTACGTTGAGTTCAATGGTATCACGTAATTTAGCGGGTCGAGCCGGGTCTGCCATTTCCACATCATGTCGATCAGAGCCGAGGTGATTTTAACGCCGGTCGCTTACGGAGTCTCTTTAACCTTCGGGATCATATCTATACTCTTAAAGTACCTGTGACTATGCTCTCAGATTAACACATTTACACATTAAATCTATATTAAAATACCAAGGCGAACACGTTCTCTAGCTTTACCAGAGGAAAATTTAGATTTTCCTTATATATTTTAATAAACTTTAGCTTACAGTGTCCGACTCAGCAATTTCCTCAGTTTTCCTTGTAAGTATTTCAGTTATCTTTTTTTTAAGAAATCAACTTTTTGCCTTATTTCGGCACGTTGTTTCTACTGCGAAACGCCATCTCTCCTCTCGCTGAATGAGTCCCCAAAGTATTCTGGGAGGCCACTTCGTTCACGTCAGCTCCCGACCTCACTCCGTCTGAAGGGAGCATTTTAGCTCCTATAACTATTGGGACACACTAACCTACACATGAACGCACAAAACCAACTGCAGGGACCAAACCGAGTGCTAGGGACCAAACCGAGTGCTAGGGACCAAACCGAGTGCTAGGGACCAAACTCAGTGCTAGGGACCAAACTCAGTGCTAGGGACCAAACCGAGTGCTAGGGACCAAACCGAGTGCTAGGGACCAAACCGAGTGCTAGGGACCAAACTCAGTGCTAGGGACC